ATCAAGATGCCTTTTTAAAAAATTTTATTATTTGAGAATTTCACGTGATGTATTTAGATCACATTCCCCTGTCCTCCCTCAACCCCTCCCAGATCCACCCCATTCCCTACCTACCCAACTTTGTGTCCTCGTTTTGAAAAACAGACAAAAAAATTGGAGTCCAGTTTGTGCTGCCCACATACTCCGGAGTGTGGTGACGGTCACACTCTGAAGAAAGCTGACTCCCCCTCTTCCAGCAGCCATCACTTGCTAACAGCTCCTCAGCTAGGGCTGCAGCTTCTTGTCTACCTTCCCTGCTCCATGCTGGGATCTTGCCTGGCTTGAACTTGTGCAGGTCTTGTGCATACTGTCACAAATGCCGTGAGTTCATACATATGACTGCCCTGTTGTGTCTCCAAAACACTGTTTCTTTGTGGTCATCCACTACCTCTGGCTTTTACAATCTTTCTGCCCCCTCTTCTGATCCCTGAGCCTTGGGAGGAGAGGGTGTGATGCAGATGTCCCATTTAGGGCCGAGCACTCCACAATATCTTATTCTCTGGACCTTGACCAATTGCAGATCTCTGTGTTAAGTGCTGTCTGATACTAGGAGAATCTTCTCTGATGAGGGCTGAGAGATGCACTGATCTATGAATATAATGTTAAGTCATTAGGACCTGATTCGCTACTACATCCATTTAGCAGAATAATAGTAGCAGGTTCTCCCTCGGGCCTGTGACCTGTCGAACCACAGGTACCTGGCCCCAATAACAGTGCCAGGTATGGGCTCCATCTTGTGAAAGGTACTGTAAAGCCACTCAGAAAGTGGTTGGTTATTCCCACAACATTCGTGCCAGTAGTAGACCAGTGGGCTTGTTTTCCAGGCTGGTTGTTACTGTGACTCACACACCTGGAACTCAAGCACTGTGGGTGCACTGTGGGGGCAGAGAGGCAGGAGGATCATTGGGGCTGACTGCCAGCCTAGCTCCAGGTTCAGTGAGAGACCCTGTCTCAAGATAATAGGGTGGAGAGTGACAGAGCACCATGTAGTATGCCCTCTCCTCCTCTGGCCTCGTCACACATGTGCACATGCACTTACACACATTCCTGCACACACAGAATTTCTTTGTACACACTCAAAATAATTTTTGTTCTCGACCAGTGGAGAAAGGGACTTCCTGTGAGGGCTTTATGCACAAGTTGGGAGTCTGTGACGGTGGACAGGAAATCAGCTCTGGAGAGGAGAGAAAGGAAGGCTAGAGGCAGAGAGGCCAGGAAAAGTCCTCACAGGTGCAAGATCAGCCCATGGTGACACCACCCAGAAACCTGGTCTTAGCCACTCAGTCAGGTGACTAACCCAGTGTGGAGACAGCAAGCCTGTGTTCCTGCACACCTAGAATCATCTTGGCCGTGGAACAATGGCAAGAGAAACACAAAGATTCTTTGACATCTCAGTGCTTGTTTTACTAAACAGCCCATCACTGTGAACAGAGGGAGGGCTGGGCCAACGCAAGTACCTAGTGCTTGGCAAGGAGCCAAGCCTCTTGCCGACAGGAAAAGAGTCACCAAGACAGGTCTGGCCACACTTGGTGACCTTCAGAATTTAGCCCTTGCCTTTCTCTTTGACCTAAATTTCTCATGAGAAAGAAAAGAATTGTAAAGAAAGAAAATTTTCTTGCTGCGTGTAGGGATGTTTTGGTCTGTGTTAGCAGACTGGCTACATTTGGTTCTAACAGCCCAATAGCCTTGAAGGTTCATTCAGCTACCCCAGTGCTTTGGAGGGTTGGAACTGAGTGATCACAGGTAGGGCTTCCCTGGCTCTTCATTTCAAAAGTTACCTGCAGAGTTTTTACCCCAGGGCACACCCTCCCACAGGGCCGTATTGGTGGGGACATAATTTGTTTCTTTCATATTTTTCATAATTTTGCCTAGTTATCGATCAGCTTTTTTCTAAGGCTGTATCTGTTTTCCTTTATAAAACTTCCCTTACATTTTATGATTCTTACAAAATAAGAATGAGGCAGGTGCGGCGGTGCACACCTGGAACCCCAGTCCCGGGGACGCTGAGCCGGGAGGACCTCGAGTTCAAGCCCTGCCTGGGACGCATACCCAAGGAGACGCTGTCTCAGGAGAGAGAATAGACTGTCCATAGACCCCATACATGACGAACCATTTCTTTTGATTATCAAAGACTTCAAAGCCGTTCTTTGTGATTGGTGTTTTCACTGAACCTAAGGCTGGGTTTCTAAGCAAAGTTCTTTCAGGTAGGTGATGCCTATCCCTCACCCCTCCCTTCCATTTTCTGCCCCGTGTCTTTCCCACTTCTCTGCTGGTCTCCTTCCTTTATCTTCTTTATGTTTTCATTCGTGTGTGTGTGTGTGTGTGTGTGTGTGTGTGTGTGTGTGATGTATCTATTTAAAATCTGTTTTCCACAAACAAGAGCAAGCATGCATGATTTGCTATGTTCCTGTGACTGTTATTTGGGGGCATCTGTTTCTCAGTTCAGCATGTGCTAGGAAATTCACCACAAATATATGTGGAATTTTAGCTTTTTGGATGCTAGCTTTTTGATGTGTCCAAACTTTCTCATCATGACAGGTCATTGTTCTATATAGAGGTCACACTCAAGAACTGCACAAATGAGTCACACACATGTACACGCATGCACATGCATGTGCATGCATACATACTCGTACAAAAATCTCTAATGTTTTAAACAAGTTTGCAGTTTTGTGTTGGGTCTCATTCATGGGCTGTGGGTTGGACACACAGTTGGACATACATGCAAGGGAAACTTGTATGTTACTGATGCTTAATAGATAAACGAAATAGAGGTAGGTTTTACTGGTCAGCGAAGCTTGTGTGTTCTACTATGAAATGGTTCCCTCAGAGAAATGTGTGGTCGGGGAGGGTTCAGATCAGGGCTGGGAACAGTGGTCCATGTGGTTCTAGAGTAAAACCATCAGTTAATTTAGAGCCACCGAAGGAAGACCTTGATGCAGTGTTTTAAATTCACTCACTCACCAGAAAATGCTTCTGCCTGCTCTAACTTGATTGGGTGACTGGGTTAGTCTGGCTTAAAGCAGATTGGTGTTACAGCTGTGCATCAAGTGGAAGATGTGTGTAGCTGCAGACCCTTCTCCCTCTCTACCCCTTCTTGCTCCCTACCTCAAGAGCAGCTGGAAAGGGGGGGGGGTCCTTTTTCCTCCAGTCAGGGAATAAGTATTTTGACATAGAGAGATAAGACTTGCTTCTTTGCACAATTTAGTTGAAAAGACTGTAATTTAAGTTTGTGCTGTTGCTAGAAAAAGAACTCAGTGGAAAAAACAGTGTGGTGATTTAATACACTTTTTAAAAAGATCCCATTGAGTCTAGGATGCCTTGTGCAATTGCATCAAAACATAAAGTTCTTGGACTGGAGAGATGGCTTAGCAGTTAGAGCACTGGCTGCTCTTGCAGAGGACCCAAGTTCAGTTCTCAGCCCCCACATGGTGGCTAACAACCATCAGTAACTCCAGTTCTGGGGGATCCAATGCCCTCTTCTGGCTTCCATGGACATTGCCCAACATGGGTGCACTTACACACATACAGGCAATACATTTGTACACATAAAATTAAAAAATAAAAATATATATATATATATTTTTAAAAAAACAGTTTTCATCATTGAGGTGAAAGCAAAAGAAGAGATCTGAGTGGAGACTGCAGTAGCAAGCAGACATGGCGGGTGCAGGTACAAGTCTGTCTCAGGCAAATGAGTTTTGCTTGTTCTTCTCCATACAAAGGTCTAGGCTATTTATAGTTGCTATAGCAAAATACCTGAGGCCAAGTACTTTATTAAGAAGAAAGAGGTTTATTTAGCTCAACTTTTGACCAAGATTGGGTAGCTCCATCCACTGGTTCTGATCCTGTAAAGCCTTCACAGTAGATGATGGGAACATGAGGATGAGGAGGAAGAGATCAGACAGGACAGAAATAGAGTCAGGCCCAAGCTTACTCTTCTGAACACGTTCTTGGAGGAGTGACCAGGGCCCTGAGAGAGTTGCACTCATGTCTTCCCACAGTGACCTATGTACCTTGAGGTATGTCTGGGTCTCCTAAAGAGCTGTCCACCTTCTGTCATTGTCCTCCTGGGGACCAGCATTCCATCACAAAACTTTAGGGAAACACACTCAAACCACATCTAAACCAAACAAGGCAGTAAGACTTTAAAAACAAAGTAAAAGAGAGAAATGATTTTTCTAAAGCCAACTCAGTATTCTCAGAATATTCAACTGATAATTTTAATATCGCATAGTTTAGAAAGATTTTGAAAACTTATATTTTGTTTACTTCAGAGTCTAACCAGAGTAGAAACAACACGAGCATGTGAACCCCACACTTTAACTAACTTGTCATTATCTGACTTTCAGGAACATCTTTCCTTGTTCTTTGAATCACTTGACAACAGCAATTGTGACTTAAAAGCAAAAGATGAGCTACAATTAAAAAAAACATTGTGTGTGTGTGTGTGTGTGTGTGTGTGTGTACACTTACATGGAGGTCAGAGGACAGCCTTGGGTGGAAACGTTGTTTGAGGCATGGTCTCTCATCACTGTGCACAGGATTTCTCCTGCATCCACTGTCATTCTCACTGTGGGAACACTGGGATGACAGGCACACGCTACCTGTGTATCTGGGGGATCTGAACTCAGGTTTCCATGCTTAGAGTGTGCACTTTACCCACTGAGCCATCACACCAGCCTGAACTATGATATTTTCCCCTTAAGTTTGAGGGTTAACCAAAGTTAAATCTGAGAGAAGAGGCGCCACAGCAAAACCAAGCCATTTATGGCACACCTCTGATTCAGAACAAGATTTCTGGGGCTTGCATGGATCGATATCAGCTTACATAATTAAGGGCTGTATTGGAAGGGAGCTGCATACTTGACATGAGCCATGCCAGCCTGCCATCTCACAGGTCCAAAAATGAAATGTCATGTATTTTCAGAAACCAAAAAAACCCCCACAAACAAACAACATGAGCTTGTAATGTATATTTTATTCTGCGCAAGCTTGCATATATACTGCACATACATTCAGTTCAAGAGAAGATGGAAGGCACACAAGGCGGTCGGACTACCGCACCCTTTAGGTGGTACAAAGCAAAAGATCAAAGTTTGGAGATTATAGAAAAGCTTAAAACACACAAAGGAAACCCTCCCCACCCTCCCCATGACAGTGCTGTCTTGTTTTTTTCCTTGTTTTAAAATTTAGTAGCTGCCAAACTAAACTGTTTTACTTTTTACTTTGAAATCAATTGTCTACGGCACCTTTTGATTTTCTTTTTCAATATGGACAGGGAGTCTCACTGTTTTCATCCTATCAATTAATATTACAGTACATCCTTGGCAATACAAAATTGTACACCTTCATCAAATAAATTAGGATAAATTAAACCAATAAATTATGCAAAGTCTTCAGAACAACAGACAATAACAAAAATGCACAATTGAAATTGCCTCTAGCTAAAAAAAAATCAAAAATTGACTTTATCAGTTCAGTTATTGTACTATATTCAAATCAAAGGGTCTTTATTACAAAAAAGAGCTTCATAATGCTATTTACAACATATTGCTAAAATAACATAAAGGCAGTGTTTGCCACGGTTTATATTATATACATATGAGAAATGGCTGGGGAAATTGGGGGAAGCTGTGACCTTTGACTCTTCAAGGGAGCTGAGACCAACTCTAAATACAATTACTTTTCCAGGTCAAAATTTGAAGTGACAATACACCATTTTAAACTGCTGTACCCCTCATCAGAGGAAGTGGATGCCTGAGAAACCGCCAAGTGAACCCATTTCCACAAAGGCCAGCCTATTTGCCTGTCGCATTCACATTTGTGTATATTAGGGGGTGTCTGATTGAGAGAGGGCCCAGGTGAGAAGACTCAAAGTCCAGAAGCTTCCACATTCTGTTATATTCTCAGGAGGATAATTATAAGAAGATGCAAAGGTTAAACTCCAGCTTTGATTCCAGCTCTGAAGATGAGAATTTCATGTTAGTTTCATAGATGGTTTACAACGCAGACCAACAGAAGCAAAACTGTGTTTCCCTCAACATAACAGGTAAGTGCAATATTGGTAACTGTTCACACGTGTCAACCAGTTACATTTTTTAAGGGGAGCTTTTTGAAAACAATGCTTGTAATCTGCAAACACATGTACCAGAAAGAGACAGCTGTACTAGTCACACCAATGAATACTCTATAATATACATGGCAAAGAGATTGTGCACCGTCCACACATGTACACAGCTTCTTTTGGGGAACTCTGTAAAGTAAACCACTTTTTCTTTCATTTATGGTTGTTTGGAGGGGCATTCTATTGTTAACTCCCCCAAACTCTTTAATACTCGGTATGAACTTGCATGTATATGGTTGTGTGTGTGGGTGGGAGGGGTACTTACTAAAAGTCTTCATGTACACAGAAAAAGAAATGTCATAAATTTAGAGAGACGGTGTTACCTTTGCCCTTGACATCTGATAAAAAGAGACTGTTATCTTTTAAAAGTAGAGAGCAGGATTTTCAAGAAGGCTTTCAACTGCTTATACAGTCGCTGTAGTGTTCCTAATAAATTTAAGAGATGCTGTGAGGCTGTAGTTATCTATTAAAATCTCATGTCTTACATAACAACAGCCATGAGGTTAAATATTTACATTGCTTTGTAAAAGTCCCCTCTTGCTTTAGTGTTTCTGTTTTGTTGTTGTTTTTTTTTAATTTTTTAAAATGATATTCACCCATATCCCTAATACAGTAACAAAGATTCTTCAAACATAAAACACTTTAATTAAGTAATACTCGGAGGCACAAAGCAAACTTCGGGAGTATGTAGGTGAACATTTACTTAAATAATTACTACATCCTAACATCTTCCACGTATTTTACCATTTAGTGTGAAACGTCTTCACTGAACAGCCAGACAGACAATAAGAATTAAACGGTGTGTTGTTGCAAATAGAACGTTCTTTTCACAAAACATAACAAATGTCTAAAATAAGCTCTTAAATCTAGATAAGAAAAGGTAAGCTTTCCACTTCACACGCATATATATGTATATTTTTACATGTGTGTGCCTGTGTGTTTTCATGTCCACACTTCTGCACGCACATAGCACATGGTATGAAATATTGCTTCTACCTACTTTCATTAGGCTAAGAAAACACAAGAGTTGCACCACAGTTACAAAAAATTGGCTTCTACAAGAATTTCCAAAACTCGAACGCTGCTCAAACAAGTGAGGAGAAAAATAATTTGCGGTATATCAAACTGTTCTAAAAATTCTCTTCTTCAAAAACGTATTCTCCTGCTTTGTTTTAAAAAGACACAAAATGTGCATAGCTATCAACGTTATGCAAACAGCCAGGAAAGAAAAGTCTAGTGTTTATTGCAGCTGTAGGAATTGGAAATAAAGTCAAAAAAAGATGAAATTGAAAGCCACAGAAGGCACAAGAACAATTGAACTTGTGGGGGAAAAACTGGTATTTTGAAGGATTTTTTTAAAAATCCCCCCGCTGGTGCATCTTAGGTCTAGGCACAGACTATCACCTCAAGTGTACACGCAAAAATAATTTAGGGTGAGCAGAAAAGAAGTGACCATATGGAATTTCAACATGAACTTTGGAGGTTTTTCCTCCTGTGTGAACTGTCCCTCAGTCCTTTCTTCTCCTGTGGGAAGCTGACTTTCTCCTGTGTGCCCAATTTTCACTTGGTGAGAGTTGAACTAAGATTGGAAAGGTAAGTGATATTTTTAGTTGTTTGAAAAACTGATAGGAATATTGAATGACAGGCTCTTGTCATTTTTCTTACACACTGGGAGGCACAGGATCCTGGGAGTGGAGAGGGGAAGCCACCCAAGAGCCAGGTGGTCCAGTTCTATCTCCAGAACAAAGACTGTTTATCTGATGTGATGCTGCAGTTTCTACTCTGAAATCGTTTTCAAGCCTCAGTCAACACTGAGAAGATATTCTTGGGAGCTGGGTGCATCAACACAGTTACAAGCACACATTTTTTTTTGCTCAATTTGCCTATTTAAATTAGAAAGGCAGGGGAAAGTGATATTTGGAAATCCAAGTAAGTCTAGAATCAAACACCACTCACCCACATTGAGAAGATACCTAGCAATCCGTCGACCCAGGTGATTACCCTACAGCTTTGCCTTTACCTCCCCAAGGGCAGCACAGTGTGATCTGAATGGCAGGGAACAGCAGAGACTCAGCTGAACACTGACAGGAGCAAAAAGTGTCATGCTCTTTCAAGCAGGAGTCAAGGGTGTGACCAGAGTTGAGATTACTTCGTTTGTGCTGATTGGATTCCTGATTTTGTTGTTTGTTGACATATATTTCAATGGACTTTTGCTTTTTAAGATAGTCATAAAAATAACAAATTGTTTCTAATAATTCCATATGCATGTGTGGATGCATGAGCACTGGGAAATGCCATGGAGGTAAATGGGTACGTCACACCAAGCTTGTTCACGCTGTGTCCACGCCCAGGACCTGTTTGTCTCCCAGAAGATGCAGGGCCTCACAGGATGGCACCGCTTAGTTTAAAGTCAGCGGGATTTAAGGCTTTGTGCTGACAATAACTGTGTTCATACATTCCTGTCGATCAGCAGAATTTATACATGATGTTGAATTACAGAGACAGGTCAGCTACTCAGTCACATGGATTGACCTGTGTTCTCCAAAGTCAAATGTTTATTTTTACAAAATAAAAAAATTAAGGAAAAATGGCATTTATGTTTTGTGTATTTTAAATACCAGATTTATTACTGTGTCATATTAGGGGTGTACATCAAATTACCTAAGGGGAAAGAGGGGCCTGGAAACCACTGTTAGAGTGAACTCATTGTGCATCTGCACACAAAAATCCAGCTAAAGACTCTGAAAGCCATTCATTTTTTTAAATGCAAGCATGGGACGTGATCTATCAGCCAAAAACTGGAAGAAAAAAGAAAGAAAAGCCAAAAGACAGCCATTGAGGAAGGGGTAGAACAGCTTTCTCAGGAGGGTTGAAACTGTGTCTTCCGGGGTAACCCAGACTAGCCTGTAAGACATATGACCTTCCCACTGTGGTCAATATTAACTTCTGAAGAAGAGGAGACATCATCCGCTGCTTTAAGATGTTATACCTAAAGTGAAGGGGCTACCACCTCCATCAAGGTAGGGTGGAATTGAATATGCAAATGAGCCATTCCCCACCAGCCCGGTCACCCAGGAAGTGAAGGTCAGGTCTAGCTCCCTCTGTAGGAAAGGATTCTGTGGTAAATGGGACTTCTTTTATCCCTTACTGTATAATGGTATTCAGAAATTAGTGTCTTAGTGGGGGAGAAAAGTGCTCAGCAGAGCGGGCAGTCCTTCTAAGTGCATGAAGACAGCACGGCAAAGGGTGCATTTGAAATGTACGTGCTTTTTAATATTTGAAGCAAAATAAATAGAAAACAACAAAGTTTAGGGTTTTTCCTCTATGGAGACCTCTCAGAGCTCACGATTTTTTACGAAGAGCCTGTTATAAAGTTTACAGAAGTGGCTACAAGGTCCTATATGCATCTCCAGTCCCACCTTGAGAGTCAGTTTTGTACAAAATTGTTTTGCCTCCATTGGAACTTGCTAGCTTCTGGGGCCACTGGCCATTTCTCTTAGGAAAGACTCGGTGATGATTATTTTTCTTTTTAAATCTGATCTTCGAGGGTACTTTTGAGATGTGAGATTTTTGGCTGCCATTGGCATTATTTTTAAACATGTAAGAAAAAGTTACTTATTGGCTCAAGTCAAACAAGGGATTTCGGTGGTGGATGAAGTGGCTTCACTGGGTCCTTCAGAACTCCTGAACCTTAGAAACAAGGGACACACCACAGGGTATGGATCGGTGCTGTGTCACGGGCTCACCTCTGCCCACTGCCATTTGCAAGAAGTTTTCGATCAATGGATCGACCAACCAGAGGTCTTGCCCATGTAGACTTTCCAGAGGCCAACATTCCTTTTCCCTGAAAACCAACCCTACCTTAAGTCTCCGAATATTAAGGGCTTTGGGCAAAGTAAACTAAAGGTAAAGAAGGAAAATACCCATCCCCTCAAAATGGAAAAGAAAAGGAACAGAAAGAGGATGAGCAGGAATTTCCAGCTCACTTCACAACATATCCATGCCTTCCACACACATATATAATAGAGCTCAAAGTCCAGACATAGAAGTCGGACATCCAAGGGGATTGCTACCACTTGTACATTAAGGAGTTGTTGAGATCTCTACTCATGAAGCAGCTCTTGTAGGCAGTTTGGGGATTTGAAAATCTCGGGCACCTCACTATCCAACTTGCAGATGACTTTGTAGATAGCCTTCTTCCAGGAGGGATCGACATCTTTGCCTGCAATAATGGCGTTGAAAAACTCCCGTAATGTGATCTGCGCAACTTCCAGGAATCTCTCGGGAACCTGCTGATACAAGGAGACAATGGCATTTAGAAAGTTTTCAGTTTCAAGTCTGCAGTTCTTCAAAGGAAACTGAGCTGTTCATGCTTTCAGAGATGGGCTTTAGACGGCACCTGCATTTTCTAAAAATGGCCGGCCTCTATTCTCTTATGTAAAGTTGTTAAATATAGTGGCATTGTAATGTGCCGTGGACCTGCTTTGTGCACTCAGAACTGAGCAAAGGGTACATGCAGACCCACTAGAAAACTAGGATTTCATTGTGGTTATTGAGGTAGAGAAAGGAGACCCCTGGTCGGGATTCCTCCCATCATTAAAAGACCCATACCAGAAGAAAGACTTGGTTTTCAGAATTTGATTCATCTCGGCTTTTGACTTCCATTATGAAAATGTGTTCCCAAAACAGAATAATAAATTGTTACAAAATTTAAGCTGAACTCTGAAATACTACATTTTGCTTAAAGAGTAGAACTGTGGAGTGATTTGTGTAATTAACTTTTGCTGTAAAACTAACACTTAGTGTTCACTATGTCGGCTACCACGTTGCACACGGAATGTCACCCCATTCTTCCAAGCTCTGTATAAGATGTGATTATCTCAATTATACAATGAGAACACTGGGGGGGCGGAGAGAGGGAGAGAGGGAGAGAGATATATATCAAGGGAATTACACCAGGTTGTTCTAGTCCAGGATTAGCAGTTTCTAAATATTCTTTTTCAAATATCTGTTTAGCCTTTTCTCCCACAGCGATTAATGAATGCATGCTGTCTGTCTGTCTGTCTGTCTGTCTGTGTTCTCTTAACTTGAATAATCTGACCTCTTGGCTGTGGGAACCGGCAGGGATTGGTGCACTTCCTTGCATTCTTTGTAGGAAAATCACAGTGAAATATGGTCTGTCCTTCCCCTACTGAAATAATCATTCATAGAATAATTACAGAAACTCATCATTTTCCCAGTACTCATTGACACTCATTAGTTTCTTTTATTGAAACACCTATGTATTAGTAAGGTTTTATTTTTATGTTACACTCAGATGCATGGGGACATAAATGCATGGTAAGTCATGTATGTAGACACATCTGTCTGCACACATGTAACAAATGAAAGACCTTCACCTCTGTTCAAGTATGCCACTTACTAAAACAAAACAGGAGTTACTGTCCTATGACCAGGTTCGACCCCTTTATTTCCACTGTTTCTCACCTGGTGAAATGGACTTTTTTTGTTTATGGATGGTAGGAGACAGAGAAGACGGACAATCACTGCCCGCCCCTGGTTTCCACATTTAAAACAGAACAAGAAATCTCACTGATCCTGATAACAAGTTAATTGTCCTTTTTAGGGAAACCTGGTAACTACTCAGAAAAAAAAAAGCTCCAATACAGAGTCTAGAAAAGAGGAGGATGTCTAGCCATCTGGCATTTATACTGGCCAGTCTGTCAAGACAGAACTCCCAGTGTAGACTACAAGATCACAGAGGGCCTCGCCACAGCTTGGCTGGGACCTCCCGCAGCTTGCCAGAGCCGGTGCAGAACTCCCACAGAGCCCTCGCTTGGTTCCTGCTGAAGGACCTGCATGACATTTCTTGGAAAGAGGTGACAAGTCACATGGAATGGGTCTTAGTGAGAGAAGCATGCCCCTGGGGCATGGGTGGGCAGCTCAGCTGTCTAGCCACTTGCCTTGGGAGCTGCTGGCCAAATGCTACAGAAACAGAATCACCAGCACTGATGACAATCAGCATTTCAAGAGGTTCTCTCTGGCCACTGGTGACAGAGTCTCCATGGAAACCTGTATTCCTTGAAAGAACTCAGGGCTGCAGGAGGCAGAGAGCTCTGAAGGACACAGATGTGAGATCTAGAAGAAGCCCAAGCCAGAAGCCCCACTCACCCCACACACAGCAGGGGTGCAGTGAGGGGCCAGGGAGGGGGCTTTGTGGAAACTGCCAGAGGCTGGAGAACAGGCTAGCACAACTCCGGAGGTGGAGCGGCTTCTTTAGGGGTCACGTGACGGCCTTCGCCACATTTTCTAAATCTGGTGGTGTTTAGTGGATTCTGTCCTGTTTTAAACATTTGTGTCTTTAGATCATCATCAGGGGTTGCCCTAGAACGTATTTCGCGCATTGTGTCTGACTTCTTACCAACTTATAACTAACTGGTTTCAGTGACCTCACCATGAAAGGTGTCTTTGGCTAAGGAGCCCTGGTGATTATTCTGGTCACCCACATGGTCAGTGGAGTCTTTTGCAGCCATGTGGTAACACCATCCTTCCTAATGAGACCTCTGCCTCTGCCCTATCCTTGGTGCCCCAGAGTCATGCTTATATCGCCCTCAGTGGTTTAAAAGGAAAGGAAGCTTAGGGCTGGGACATAGCTCAGTGGCACAGCACTTACGTACGGTGTGTGAGGCCCTGGGTTTGACTCAGTACCACCACCACTCCACCCCAAACAACCAAATTAAAGCAATGATAAGATCAAATTTCAAGCACTATTGAGCTCAGAAACCTTCACTTTAGAGATGAAGAAACCACGAGAGTCTGAGATGGAGAAATTATCAGATAGACTCACATGAAATAGTGTTTTTCTACTAAAACCAGCTGGTTCCCTTTGAATGCTTTTCTATTGTTTTGTTTTGTTTTTGAGGCAGGGTCTCCTGTAGCTCTAGCTGACCCCAAACTTACCAAGTAGTTGAGGATGACCTTGAATTCCTGACCTTTCTGCCTCTACCTCCTGAGTGCTAAGACAACAGAATGCCCAGCACCTGGCTTTAATGCTTTTATAAAGGCACCCTGGCTCATAGGAGGTATCGGGTTACTGACAAGCCATGGGCCTATAATTGAAGAAAATTACCACCAAGGAGCCAGTAACTTTAATATATACTGAAATGGGTTAAGGGACTTGGTTTATTTGTTGGAAAGGATGGACTCTCTGTGCATAAATGAAGTGGTTTGCTAATTCAATGCTTATCCTGAGCAATGTGCACACAGTGGACTGGACTGGGTGAAAGACCTTCTAAAGAGATCATCTGACCCTGGAGCAGCTCATCTTTTTCTGGTGGCTCCAGAGGAGCAGTGTTGGGTAGCTCTTCTGAGAGAGTGCCAGGGAATTCCACCCACAGGTAGAAGTCTCCTCCATGGTCCATGAAAATGACGTGCCTTAGCTCCCTACTTAAAACCTTTTTCTGTCTCCATTTACCAGAGTAAGGAGGATCCCTCCCAAAGGGGGCATCTTAGAGGTCAGGATTGGGAACATGATATTGCCCATATTTCCGAGCATCTCCTCACACCTAATGGCTTTCCAATCGTTAATAAACATCTGCAGAAAATCCCTTAGTGACAAGTAATCCCTTATCTAGGTTTCTTTTAATAGAACCCAACAATCTCCAGAATGAACCCTGGAGTCTCTCTCCTCAGCGTCAGGTGCAACAGTCAATCATGGAATGCAAGACAATGCAAGGGTGGGGGAGGGGGGAGGCAGGCCTTTGGACATGCCACAGGGGAAAAACAAAAGGCTTCCAAAGTCTCTGGCAGAGCCAGGAGGCTATTGTGGGAGCTGCTTGGCCGGGGCGTTCTTCAGGAGGGGAGAGTGGAAACTTTGCTTTGATAAAAAGGCATCCCATCCCGATATAGGAGCCTCACCCCGGATGGTCTTGCCTTGACATTTGGAGAATAGAATTGTGGAGAGGTACTTGAATACACTTTGAAGGGGCCTGGCCAACAGCATCTACCAATTTCATCATGATTTTGGATTTTGCTTCTTGACAAGAGCGAGTCAGTGGCTTGTGGACTTTGGGGGAGAGGGAGAAAGACTGGTTCAAACTTACTAGGTCTACAACTGGGCTGCACACATATGTGGTGTGTTGGGTGGGTGGCTGTTTTGCTGTTTCTTTTCTTCTCTTTTTAAAACCAGGTTGAGTGGCAAAGACATCCCCCTCCTGTCTTCCTCCTCCTCTTCCCGGTTGCTTTACCTTCAAGGATGATTTGTTTTATTAAACTGACTGTCCCTAGCCTCTGCAGTACATAATAAAAGCCTGACATAGCAGGCTGCCTGCCTTCTGTGTCCTGCAGACACTCATCATAAGTGTCAGGACATACCAAGGTTAGCGGTCACTGGAAGTGTGCTGGCTGGCCCAAACCTTGCCAAACGCTCTTGGCAGCTGAATGAATATCACAGAGAATAGAAGGCAATGACAAAGGTTAAAAAGAAGACAGCCTCTCCTATTTTCTGGAGACAGAGAAGCTGATTTTTCACACCTCTGAAGCATCCATCAGCTCATTCATCAGCCTCTCACGGGGGACGTAACCCTGCCCTTTGCTGAGGTCCCCGTGGACACTTCTTCCATCCTTGATCCCCTTTAAGAATTGGTCCACTGGCCTTTAGTTCACCAGTGGAATCATCTTTACTAAAATGGATGGAAAACAAGCCAGGTATCACCTCTTTCTCTAGCCCTTCCTCAAGAGTCCATGCTCGGTGGCCTATGGAGCCAAATCTGTACAGTCCAATTTTATCAAGGAAGATCGTCTGTATGGTTCATCTTTTAAGCTAATTTTTTTCCCCTCAAACTTCCTCCAGTGTAAAAATGGGAGACGTGCACATGGCCGGGCAGGAGTGGCCGAGGGATGCGAAATCAGCATGCTGCCCGGCGTTTTGGTGAATTACTTTGTGTGTAGGTTTTCTTTCTTCTTCTTTCCCCACTTTTTTTTTAATACTATAAAAGGGCAATAAAATGCTGAGTGGAAGAAGGCAATGTCAAGGGGAGAAGGGCACTGGTATTTTGGATACTCTTCACTGCTTGCCTTGGAGAGAGTTATTCTTGTCACAAGCCCTTTTGTCTGCATCTGCTGACGGCTAGCCTGTAGCCAGCAGCATACTTTAACTGTTTTGTCACCCCCTAACATCACATGCATCAGCTGTTGGGCTTTTGTTACGGGTATTGTAGAACTAATCCGCTGTGGCTGTTCTACTGTGCAGTAAATAAAACAGAAACGGGCTCCTCACACCATTCTGCATGAA